TTATTAAACAAGAGAATGGATTTAAATAAAATTTTCTGACACATATAAAAGTTGCATAATTCCTTATACAGATATGTGTAAAAACAAACAAAGCGTGTAGGTATATCTATGTAGAGCAAAAACTATGCGAATTAAACCACAATGTTGTTATCATGTGGCAAGGAGCTTGCTCCCTGGTTTTATATGTGTGTTCCTGGACATGAAGGGAGAATATATATATCTGAAGACTTTTTTGGTGAAAAGCAAATTAAGCATTCAGGGCATAAAAGGAAGAACATGTTACCCCCTGCATCCATTACGTCCCCTAACCCTCGCATACACCCACTATCTCCCCTTTACGAATATTACTAATATGTTTTAGTGGTGGAAATTACTAGTGACCTCCCTCCCTAGTTTTGACCTAACATTTATCTATTTAAATAGGTAGTTAAATATACTTTGAATCCACATATCCTAACATGACACACAAAGACATATTCACTTACACCAGGGCTCACATTGAATATACACACATAAACATACATTCACTTTACATGCACATACAATCTAATACATGGTACATCTACACCAGCATATATGCAGTATGCCCAGATCCTAATTTTCCCTGGGGGCCCAAGCCACTGTCAGTCCATCACTGAAGCTCTGAGTGCTTCTATCAAAACTAGGACTACTACTTCCTTTACTTTGCACATTCTTTCCAGTTCAGCTTTCAGTCTTTGGTATTTGTCTACCTCTTCATGTCCCTTCTCCCTGATGTTATAGTCACTGGGTATTGAAACATCTACTACGACTGCAGTCTTCCGCTACTTGTCTACCACCACAATATCAGGTTGGTTGGATAATTCTTGCTTGTCTGTCTGGATCTGAGAGTCCCATAGGATCTTAGCCCTGTCATTCTTAACTACATTTTGTAGTATCTCCCATCTAGACTTTGGCAGGTCCAATCCATATTCTGTGCAGATATTTCAGTACACAATTCCAGTAATTGGTTGGGCTTCTCAGTGTATGCTGTCTCTGCAAACATCTTGCACACGGCTATTGTATGCTGTATTGTCTCAGAGGCCTCTTTGCACAGTCTGCTTCTTGGGTCTTCTCTGGTGTGTTAGACCCCTGCTTCTATTGATCTGGTGCTGAGTAAATGTTCCATAGTTGCAAGGATTAGTGTTTCAGTGCTATATTTCAGTCAGACATTTTGAAACCACTGGGAAAATTTGGTATAGAGAGCCACATCCACTATCTACTGGTGGTACACTTCATGGAGAGGTATATTGCCATGGAACTCCTCCTTTTCTGTATTCTCTGTCTGATGTTCTCTCAGGCAATCCGTTAGCAGTACAACTTTGGAAGCCATTTTCATTATGTACTTGTGGATGCTCTGTGTTTCATCCAAGACTGTGGCCTTGGCACTCATAATGCCCCAAACTCCTTGCATCCAGCTGGTGTACAATCTCTGTGTGGTGGATTTTGTGTGGAATCCACAATTCATAGTGAGTAGTTTCTGGGTTTTGACATCCATGTGACCAGCTCTTCACTTGGCTAGATTATTATTCCAACTGATTACCTGTTGATGGTTTGGATCTTGTTCTTGAGCTGGGACTTCAGGACCTGTCTAACTCTATGGAGGTACTTGGGTACTTAGATGTTGCTATTCTCTTTGTCTCTTGTTCATGATTGCCATATGTTTGTGGTACCCCCAGGTACTTTTAGCTGTTTTCTACATCTCCTGTTTGACCTTCTGGTACTTGAACTCCTTCTGTCCTGATCATCAATCTATCTTCTTTTTACTATCATTCGTCCACACTTATCTAGTCCAAATGACATGCTGATGCACTTGCTGTGTCTCCTATTTAGGTGAATGAGTGAGTCAATGTCCCACTCACTCTCTGGTACAGAGCTTGACATTGTGCATGTAGAGTGGTAGCTCCACTGTTGAACCTGTATCTCTATCCACTTTTCATGATTATCTGACTAAGGAGGTTAAGGCCTATGCAGAACAGCATCGGGGATAGCGCATCACCTTGGTATATGCCACATTGGATGTGTCCTGGAATTGGCTTCTCAAGTTATTTTCCACTTGCCCATCAAGTACTTGATGAAGGCTCTTATTGTCTTGTTGACCTTGTATAGAGCCAAGCATTCCAGTATTCATGTGTGCCATATGCTTTCTTGTAGTCAATCCAGGTTGTGCACAGATTGGTGTCTGGTCTTAGAATTCCATGTAACTGCTGTAGTCTACCAGAAGTTGGTGTTTAAATTCTCTGGTGTTGTTTCCAATCCCATTTTGAGTATTTCTCATATACTGACTCATATGCCTATTGATTTCGGAGGGTATGATGCCTGACAGGACCCTCCATGTTGTTAGGAGGCAGGTAATAGGTCTGTCGTTAGATGGTATTGTTCCCTTGTTTAGGATCATTCAGGAACAGTTTTGTTCTTCCTTGTGCTAGCCAGTCAGGGTGGCTGGTTCATTTGTGCTGCTAGGCATTCATGCAGTGTTGAATATTTCTTTATCCAATAAGTGTGAGTCATATTAGGTCCTGGGGCTGACCACCTCTTCATGTGGGTTACTTGTTGAATACCTCTGACTGTGATAGTGATTGATTAATGTTCTGGGAGCATGCAGTTGTCTGTTTTCAGGTCTAGTAGCCACTTATTATGTCTTGTTATGTGATGCCTCTTTCTCCCATTTGTTCTTCCCGTACTGTTTATTCTCTGCTCTGGGTGTGTTTTGGGTGCATATCTGGTTACCCTGCAGATGGTTCTTTGGTCAACATGTCATTTATTCTCTTCTTCTCTTGCGTATCTGCTCTGTCTGGTTGCCAGTGTTGTCAGCCTTAGCTTAGCTGTTTATTGTGCTTCAGGTGTAGGCATACCATTGTGTATATATATATATAATTGACTTTTTGTAGAAGTATCTGGAAGGATATTTTATTGATAATGGAAGTTATGGAAGCAATATACTTTATTTTTAGACTTTCCTAAATCTTGTGTTGTTTGCATTTAATATTTTGTTTCTGTCTCTTTTCACAATGAGTTGCTAAATACTATCGTTCAAGTAAATGGGTTGTACATGCCCAAAAACTCAAATCCTGAGACTGCACACCCGTCCTAAGTGACATGAAAAATATAGCCATCTTGCTCCTACAATGTTTAGATCAATTTGCTTTTTTGTTCATTATAAATCAGATCTGTTGGTGGTGATGCAAAGGCCAGTACATGTATGTTCTAGATGCACTCCTTCAATTTGTTGATTCATTTTCCTATTGCAGGTAAACATTGAACAATTTATCCTCATCAGTAAAAAATCAGACCAATAAAAGATTTTAAAAGAACAAAATTGGGCTTTTATATTTATTATTATTATACTAACCTACTTGGCAATGCTATAAATTAAAGGTATGGAACACAAACATTTTGTCTATGATAGATTAGTTTTAAAGCTTTGCTATTTGTCAGGAAGCAAAATGTTTGACACTGTTATAAATCAGATCTAAGGAATGACTGAATGAAGCCCCGTGGCAGGTCTCATTCCCTGGATCTCACTTTTTCAATATAAGTACACATAGAAACATAGAAACATAGAATGTGACGGCAGATAAGAACCATTTGGCCCATCTAGTCTGCCCAATTTTCTAAATACATACACATGCAAACATGGATATACACACACACACACACACACACATATACAGAGATGCACACAAACACATACATTCATATGGCATGGTTGGATACTTCTTTTGCTATCTACTTGTGGCAATATTCCAAAATTATATATTTATTGTTAACAAAGCACTTAAGGGAACACTTCATGCACTGTAGTTGTTATGGTGCTTGGAGTGCTCCTTTAAATAATTAGTAAAATTTTTTTGAATATAGGTCAACCTTTATCAAAAGCAAACTCTTGCTTTCCTTGTAAATAGCCAACATTGCTTGTCTTTTTTCCTTTGAATGTGCCTCCAAGTTTCCAGTCTTTTCGACTTCAATACCAAGCAATTAAATTGAATCTGGCTTATCATAGTAAGATGCTGCAAACTCTTAGTAAACTTATATATTGATATTGTAAATATCACTATGATTATTACCTGTATTAAAATGATTCAAAAGTACAAATGCTGTAAATAAGAACATTGTGGGGTTCACTCACTAACTGGAATTCTGGGTATTTTGCGGCCCACTCGATAACATTGAATTAATAACATCTCAACAGTCAATGCCACTCAGCACACAATGGTGAACCTATGTTGGACTGGCTGTAACCTGTCTGTGGGAATAATAGTGGTCTGTGCAGTTATTTTCTAGTCCATAAATAATCAAATATAACATACAGAGATTGTCATTGTTTCTTAACAAACCAAGTGAATTATTGAATGTAATATTGTACATAAACAAAGCCTCCAAATAATGAGATAAAAAAAAATAAGTAAAAATAAATGAATACAGTACTTCAGCTACCACAATATACCATAAGATAATCAATGGAGGACTAGAAAGTTGTATAGCTTATTCACCATAATGCAATTAGTGCAAAATCATTATGAATAGCATTAATACTCCTTAATTGACTCCCTCAGGTGTTTAGCACCACCATATTTGCTATGTTAATGCACTTTATGTTCCTATGTAGGTGTATGTATGGAGTAAGTAAATTACAATCCACTTATGAAGGTAAAAAAAATGAAGAAAAAGGAGGTGCGTCTTGGAAACGTTTTCTTTAATTGAAGGTGCATTGGTTCAAAAAAAGTTGGGAACCACTACATTACTTGAAAAAATAATGATCTGTTTGTTCCAAGTTCCTTTTATTTTCAGTATAAATCACAATTTTTTCCCCCCAATATTTCTTCTATAACACACAGACGTGGTGTACATCTAACTAGTGATTTACTGGAAATATTCTGTATTACATATTTTAAGATGCATTTTTGGTAAATATTGGTTTATCAGGGTTTGATATCTTCCGTTAATGCACTGTTATCTTTCTTTCCTTAGTTTGTGGCTCAGCCAAACTGCCAACAATTACTAGCTACATTGTGGTACGATGGATTCCCAGGTTGGCGCAGGAAGCACTGGGCAGTGAAATTGTTGACCTGCATCACAATCGGACTGCTTTTCCCAGTATTATCGTTGGCATATCTTTTCGCACCCAAGAGCAGGCTGGGACTGTTCATTAAAAAGCCATTCATCAAGTTTATCTGCCATACAGCTTCATATCTCACTTTCCTCTTCCTTCTTCTTCTGGCCTCCCAGCACATAGTGAGGACTGACCTGCACATGCAGGGCCCCCCACCCACCGTGGTGGAGTGGATGATATTACCATGGGTTCTGGGTAAGTCTGAAATAAAGCATAGGTAAATAATATTTATTCTAAAACATTATATTTTAACTGATATTTTTTTTTACATAATGGCATTAACAGATTTGTGCTGGAGCTTCATGTTTGGTCCTTTAACTACGTAATACTTTTGAAATATCCTAGGAGAATGATTAAGATACATCTAAAACCATGTAGATATCTCATCTATTTTTTATGTTCCAGGTTCATAAATAGGTTCTACCCGCCCTGCTAGGTACTGACATTTTTCCAGATTCTCTACATTATGTGACCTGAGACCCTGAGTCTCCATACTATTATTATTTGCATATTTAAAGCATAAACCAACATGTTCCCCAGTGGTTTACAACCATACATCAGGGATATATTAGAGCAGATACAAAAAAGAAGACAAGACACAAGCAACGTATACCCTAAATGGAAGCAAATTAGGGATAACAACACACGAAAAGGACTTGGGAATTGTTATAGACAACAAACTATGCAACAATGTGCAATGTCAATCAGCAGTGGCCAAGGCCAGTAAGGTATTGTCATGCATGAAAAAGGGCATTCATTCTCGGGATGAGAATATCATTTTGCCTCTAAATCACTGGACCACATATTGAATATGCTGTGCAATTTTGGACACCTGTTCTAAAGAAGGATATTATGGCTCTAGAAAAAGTGCAAAGGCGGACTACAAAATTAATAAAAGAAATGGAACATATCAGCTATGAAGAAAGGTTAGCAAATTTAAACCTATTTAGTTTAGAAAAACGTTGTCTGAGGGGGCATATGATAACATTATACAAACATATTCGGGGCCAATACAAACCATTGTGTGGAAATCTATTCACAAACCGGACTTTACATAGGACACGAAGTCATGCGTTTAGACTGGAAGAAAGAAGATTTTGTCTAAGGTAAAGGAAAGGTTTTTTTTTTTTACTGTAAGAACAATAAGGATGTGGAATTCTCTGCCTGAAGAAGTGGTTTTATCAGAGTCCATACAGATGTTCAAACAGCTACTAGATATATACTTACAAAAACAGAATATTCAAGGATATAATCTGTCAATGTAGGGTAATAACTGCTTGATCCAAGAATAAATCTGACTGGGGTCAAGAAGGAATTTTTTTCCTAGCTTGTTGCAAAATTGTGCTTCAAACTGGGTTTTTTTGCCTTCTTTTGGATCAACAGCAAAAAACAAATGTGAGGAAGGCTGAACTTGATGGACGCAAGTCTCTTTTCAGCTATGTAACTATGTAACTATGTAACATTTATGTTAGATATGGCATACATCTTAAAATTTTAAATGGATATTGATGGACACTTTTGTTTTAGGGGTATGGCCAGGGGTGGGGCTTTTTTGAGACATTTTAGGTGACTTACCAATAACAATTGATGCAACTTTATTGTAATCTAGAGAAATAACAAAGTATCTTATTTACACAGAGTGATTTCTAAACCCATTTAGTGTTGTTTAAATACACATTATTGTGAGTATTATTACTGTGGAGGTCTGTTATACACCTAGAAAAGTGGTCATTTTTATTTCATTTTTCCCCCCATAATTTAAAAAGAAGGACAGAGGGATTTGGGCCCACAATAGGAACTGTCCCTCTTAAATAGGGGCATTTGGGAGGTATGGTTATGATTGCAGAAAAAAAACATTCAGATGCATGCAGAACATTACATTTTATGGTAAAACAAACATATTACTAAAATTCCAGGTATTAAATGAGTGTTACAGAAACAACAAACTGTTAGTTAAACACACAGCATTATAGAGACATGCAGAGGACAGAAACAAAGGGGACGTCATTCTATAACTATGTACAAAAACAACAGCCCCATCTATTGTCCAGTATCTAAAATACATGAATGTGTAGATTAAAAGAAAATTGTTGTTCTAAGATTCTATGTCCCCTGCTTCTGCATAGTCTGTTAAAGAGAGGTCAGCAAGCTTTCCATTTTTCAATAATGACAATGAGTGCCCGTTTGATAAATATTCCTTTACACAACCTCAATTACAGTGTAATAGGTCAGGCCCCAAAGAGACCAAACCTCTTCAAAAATTTTAGCTGACCTTTAGCAAGTGCCATATTTTAAGAAAATCAATCAACCCACTGTAGCTGATCTAACATGTCACAGCCATTAGCACACTCGGGGTCTGGTCATGGCAGGATAGAATAAGCTTCAAGTGAAGCAATATTACTCTTGCTAGACCAGTTTCTGGTTGTCACAAAGCAGTTAATCTATGTGTATATCCGGCCAGCTAAAGTTGCCTGGTGCAAGAGATAATCCGCTGTATAAATAATAAAAATGATTCGTATTCTATGAAACTCTTAAGCCTTTAAGTGCCAGGGGGCTTCTTACCCTCTGGCACTCAAAAGGTTAATGTGGTTAATGTCTCCCTATACCCATTGCTCCCAGCCAAGACGAAAAATCTATCCATATCTTCCCACTGCAGGGCTGCTGTTCTGTCTCTGTGCATTTGTTTCCTCCTGATTGATGGGCGTATGTTATTTTTCAGTACACTCCTCCAAGCTAACATTTATGTTTTTTTTTTAATTTGTTTTCCAATGTCAAATATGCACATATTAACATGGAAATATTTGTCTGGGCAGACATGTCATCGACTGCTCTGTCACATTATACTGACCTAATTTCAGTAATCTCTCTGTAATAAGGCTGCACCCTTTCTTGAAAAAAATGCATCACTGGTCTTTTTAGTATAGTAATATTGTGTCATTACTATAAATCTTTAAATCCTAAGCACGTAGGAGGTCTATTCACCCAGCAGTAAATTTTATGGCAAGACAGAAGGCTTCATATTTGCTTTACCTTCTTTACTGAAAACCTCCAGCAGCAAAGAAATAGTTAACAGAACTTTTTCAAACAACCAGAACAAAATAACAGCAGTATAAAATCCCTCAGTCAGATCCTTCCACTTCCTCTTTCTTTGCTGTTGCCTCCAGGTGAGCACTGTTCAACCCAGAGAGTGTGTCTGCTCTGGGTTCTTTTGTGTATTTATTTGCATTGTCACTGCTTATTTTGTGTTTATTTTGTGTGTGCCCCTTTGATTTATTCGGGGATATGGGCCCCTGGGGTGCTGCCTGGCCTCTGGGTTTCCCTGGGGTTCTCCTCTGCCAGCCGTCGTGCTGCCTGCGATTGCGGCACCCGTGCCCCCCTCCCTACTCCCCTGGGTTTACAGCCTTCCCGGCTCCTGTCGCGGCTCTTGGCCGATTTCCTGCTCGCAGCACACAGACCGCTTGCGGCTCCATGTGGCGGCCTAAATTTGTGGCCGCGGTGGCCATTTTGTTGGAGTCTCGACAGCCATTTTTTGGGTGTCGCGTGTGCTCCCACATGTTCCAGGTGGCCTGGACCTCCGGTTTCTCGCCTGCCTGCTCCATCCATGTGCTGGCTGTGCTGCCTGCCCCCTCATACACCATTTTATTTTCCTTGCAGGTTTTAGGACACCTGGGTCCTAGGTGGAGGTAGGCATCTGCCCTGTTATGTGTGGGGTGACCCCGCTTACAGGTACTATGTTACAGGGCAATACTCTGTCTGACATTACTGCCCCCCACTGGGCCCTGCTGGGGTGTCAGTGACACTTTTTCAGGTTGACCCCCTCCCTCTGACAGCACTGCTGGACCTTCAGTGGCCTTTTATATTCATACTGAGGGTGACCCCCTACCGCTGACTGCACTGCTGATCCTACAGTGTCTTGTTATAATCATACTGAGCGTGACCTCCTCCCGCTGACTGCACTGTTGGACCTACAGTGTCCTGTTATAATCATAATGAGGATGACCCCCTCCCACTGGGTGCACTGCTGTACCTACAGTGTTCTGTTGTAATCATACTGAGGGTGACCCCCTCCCCTGCTGGCCTATACTGCATGGTATGCTTGTGCTTGTTGGGTGACCCCCAGCTGGCCTCACCAGGTACCACACTGACAGTGTTTTACCTCTATGGCAGTGATACAGTCATGGCTGAAGGAGCAGATTTCCATGCCCAGAAAGTCTCCAGGTCTGGCTTCGTACCACCATAGTGGCCTCAGTGCCTGAAGCCCTCGCTGCCTTCCATGGTGATGCTCCACCGACCAACGTGGACCCTGCACCCAGCACCTCAGGTGCTGGGGGATCTGACACGGGCGATTCCCTCTACTCTGTGGATATGGGTCCGCATGTAAGGGACCTTGGGAGGGCCATGGTGTTCCCACCGATCAAGATGAAGCTGCCTGACAAGTTAAGATGGCCTCTGGTTCAGGCAGCCACCCAGTGGAGGAGGGTTGTGATGTCCTGGATGAGTACCGGACCAACAGCTCTGGTGCAACATCCCCCAGTGCGCATTTTTTTCTCAGCGGGCATTCCCACTACGTGAGGGAGACGATGTTGGACTGAACACCAGAGGGCCCTCCAACCACCGCTGATGACCTTGGTGAGATTCTGGATCCTTCCTGCCCTCCCCTTTTCAAACCACCGGCTCATTAAACACCCTTGCTCCTCGTATTGGGCCTCTCTGGACCACATTGCAGGACTCCTGCGTTGCTGGCTCTACCGCCCCTTGGATCCTTGGATAAGGACACGGTGCTTGCTTGCTTCTTGATAGGTCTGGAAAAGACCTGCAAAGACCTGGAACAGGGTCTATGCTCTGCCCAGGACAGACTGCTGGATGTCAGTGGCACGTTGATACAGATGTTCCTTATGGAAGTGACGGTCTATAAAGAACACTGGTGCTTGCTAAATCTCCTAAATCTCCTACAAGAATGGGCCCAAAGGGCCATCTGTTTGTTTATAAGGAAGCGCCAATGTGGCCCTGTCCTCCGAACACCGGAAAGCGGCCCTTTACAAGCTAGATGGCTAATTGGCAGATTTGTGGAACCTCCGAGACAGGTCACCACTCCACGGCTGATACGCATGACCAAACAGGCGTCTGATCCGATTCATTCAGACAGTTTATCCCTCCTGGACAAGGGCTCAGCTCACTTT